TCTGTTAAGTCCGTTAGTTGTTTAGTCTTCTTTTCAATGTAGATTTGCAGAAAGCACCTTAATGCCTGCCCCAAGGAATGTAAACATGGGCACAACGACCTTCAGGCCAAGACTTTGGAGAGCCTCCAAGGGCTGCATGTGCTTTGAGGAAGAGGAAGATGATGAAAGACGGGTCCCAAACTCCCCCAAACTCAATTCCCAAAGGGGTGTGCCAAGGGGCAGAATGGGGCAGAACTAAGGGGTGGACAAGTGGGGATTGGATGGACATCATCATAAAATTGTAGCGCCTGGGTCGAATGGTCATGTGCGACAGCTGTATTCCTGGAGCATGGTGACTCACTAAAGCTTTCTGTTTTCTTATCTCCTACCTAATTGGGCCCTGGAGTTCTTTTTAGGCAATAGTGGCTTAGGAAAAGGTAAAAAAGATATCTTGAAAAACAAACTTCTCCTATTAAAAATAAAGCAGTATATACTGGTTTGGGATGGAATGGAGTTAATTTTCTTTGTAGCAGTTCAATGGTGCTATGTTTTGGATTTGTGACCAAACAATGTTGATAACACAATGCTGTTTTAGCTGTTGCTGAACAGTGTCACAGCATTCTCTGCTCCTTATGTTGCCCCACCAGGGAGGAGGTTGAGAGTGCAAAAGAAGCTGGGAGAGAACACAGCCAGAACAGCTGACCAAAGAGCTACTCCATACTGTACTACATCAAGCTCAGCAATAAAAGCTCAGGTAAAGAAGGAGGAAGAAAGGATGTTTGGAGTTACAGCACTTGTCTTCCCAAGAAAGCATTATGGATGACAAATTCATGCTTTCCTGAAAATGTCTAAGCAGCTGCCTGCTGATGGAAAAGTCCTGAACTAATTTCTTACTTAGCTTTGATTGCACTTATTAAAAAAGCTTTTTTTGCATATTAATAATAAAGAAATTTATTAAACTGTCTATATCTTAACTCATAAACTTTCTTGATTTTTTTTTTCTGATTTTTTTCCATATCTGGCTGCAGTGGAGTGAGCAGCTGTGTGATGCTTAGCTGCTTACTGACCTTAACCGTCAGCAGAGACACATGAAGACCCCTCACCTCCATTTTCAGTTTGTTAAGCTTTAAACTTGACACACTTACCAGGTGATCCCACCAGTTATTGTTGACTGGTCAGGCAGGATGTATTTTCTATCTTCCAAATAGCAGGGACAATGAGATTTACGAACACACTCGTTCTTGTGGTTTAAGTACAGTCCTGTAGGGCACTGGCAGCCTTCAACAGGAATATCAGTTGGATGACATTCCAGGGCTCGGTTGGAGAGTGACAAGCATGTCCTGTCACATGCCTGAGCGTTGTAGCTGAATGTTTGATTGCCAGTGCAAGTAATGGCTGTAAAAGAAGAGTGTATGTTAAACTTCATTTACTGATCCTCTTCCTTGTGAAAGGTAACTGTGCTCATCACGTGCTGCTTATTTTGTGTCGACAGCTTCAATGCTTAATGCTTCCAGTAGCTTCTCTTCCTATGGATATGGAGCTCTAGCAAAACGTATTGCAGTATTGCAGACCAGGGCTTAACAACAACCATGTAGCTGTTTGGAAGTTTAATGAAGGTTTAGTTGTTTGGAAGTTTCATGAAGGTTAAATATGTAACTGCTTCTTCGTGTATCTTGGAATAAAATAATGCAAAGAGAAGCTTTGCAGAAATATCAATGTATTTTTGAGTAGCTTTGCAGAAATATCAATGGATATTTGACTAACTGTGAAACCTGTACCTAAGTTGCATAAAAACAAAATCAAATCTGCACCCAGAGTTTTTCCTAGTTCATTCTCATTTTACAGTACAGTATAACTCTATTTATCTGTCTATTCCATCACTTTAATTATCAAGTCCTGGAAGCATCCACATGCTCGCCTTAAAGCATATGAATAATCTTCTTCATATAGACTAAAATCACAATCTTTTTCTGAAAGGGACTAGAAGAATATTCAAAAGTTGGGTATCTGTTATCCCCTTTCTGCTTTTTTCTTCTTTCTGTTCTGTTCACTACTTTTCTCATTACTCTTATGATGATTTGGACACCGTTTCAAATATTGCATTACCATTTTGGTTTTTGTTTTTGTTGTTGTGTTTTGACACATCTGCAATGCCAGCAGCTCCTGGGAAAACAGTTTTTATACCTGCTGGTTGGCCTACTTGAGCAATATGTAGTTATTTCTGTAAACACTGACAAGTTGTTTTAAAATAAGTTCTTGTTCTTACTCAGTTTTGTCACAGGTGAATCAAACACAGGAATATTCTAAACATAAATAGGCAGACCTGCATGCATGCATTCATCTGATGGAAGACCATTAAGAGCTGCTTCAGTTACTTACTACAATTGTCCATACTGCCTCTCCAGTTCTCAAGGATTAAACCCATTGAACTGCATGCTCGTGCATATGATCCTAGAGCAGAACAAATGTGTGGAAAGGTCTCTTCATAGTTACAGGCCTGGTAGACACATCTCTGAAACCCAATACATGGAGAATACTTTGTTACTGGGGTGCAGACATCTGGAAGTGCTAAACCCTGGAGGTATTTAATAGATGTGTGGGATGTGGCACTTAGGGACATGGTTTAGTGGTGGATTTGGTAGTGTTATGTTTATGGTGGGACTCAGTGATCTCAAAGATCTTTTCCAACCTCTGTGATTCTATGCTGAATTGCAGAGCTAAGTCAGACAAAATACATAGTATTGCATAACTAAAACTGAGGGAAAATATCTGAGTAATTGCTTTGCTGATGTAAATAAAATATACTTAATACCTAAAAAATGCCTGTTTATTCGCCGCTTCTCATTTTGAATTCTCAAAATGTTTTGTGTAGATTGGCAAATACAATGAGCTCAATTATGCCCATGGTAAAATCAATACTTCGAATAGTTATAGTTGCCATGGACAACTGCTGTATGAGCAAAAATACCTTCTGATTCATAGGAATGGGACTGGTGCCTATGAACAAACAGACTTTCAGTGTGGAGGAGACATAATTTTCAAAACCACACCTGTTCCTTTGCTTCCATGCCTTGCTGATTCAATGCGTGGGACACTGTCTATGAGCACAGTCTGGTTTATATTTGGACTCCCTCTGTACAACGTCTATCATAATTTCCTACCTTGTAGAAAGGAATAGGGTTGACCACAGCATGGCATTTCTCGAACACTGTACCCTTCTTGGTAAGAACGGAGCAATGAGTCTCAGCAGATATTTCTAATGAAAGTAAATCACAAACATTAAAAATAGAAAGTTAGGGGGAAAAAAAGAAAAAAAACCTTTAAAAAACCTGATATGTTACTGAAGGTGAACTTTTGGCAATGACGGATTGAACAATAGGACAACTTCTTAAATTGTTAGCTTCCATACTCTGTTTTTGTACAAACAGCTCAGTAGGGGTTTTTTGTCTTTTTTTTTTTTTTTAATGACCAATAGCAATAGAAACTTAGGAAGGCAAAGTCTGGATTTCAGTCACAGTACTTTAGAGCAAGCCTAAGACATCCACAGACATTGCAATTTCACTGGATGGATCACCAAAACCCTCTCATTCTCATTCATCATCTCAATCCCAGGTCTCTGGAATGGAATCTGATAAGTTTTCTTATGAAAACTTATCATAGTTTTTCTTTCTATGAATTCTAGAAATCAGAAATGTCTTGTTGATGACAGAATTTGTGATGTCTCAGTTTCTGCTTCTACCAAACTCTCTCATTTCCCTGGAATGAGCTCATAGAAGTGTCAGACAAAGCTAGCTGGAGAGATCAGTTACAACAGGATCATCTACTTACTGTTTAGTTGACTCAAAGCACAAGGGTCAGTCTCTCTCTCTAAAGCAGGATGGCAATTTCCCGCCCTCCAGGAATCTACAAACAAGGAGGCTGTCCCTTCAGTGATATCCATGCTAGTCATGAAGTCATCTGTAGTGTCTCCATTGTAATTGCCACACAAACCTAATAACATCAGAAATGCAAAGGATGGATGACAATTAAAGAATGTGTACAGAGTGGCCTATGTTTCATTTTATAATAATGAGAAAATTGATTCAAAAGCTCTATGTAGAGTGTCAATGAATACTATAGGTCAAGTACCCAGAGAATCTTGATTTTATACACATTCAGTTACTGATCCTCTGCCTCCTCAAGTGAAGAGTGTCGACTTCTATTTAATGACAAATTCATAAAGAAGTTTTTGTCTTGTTTTTAGAAACAAGTGGTTTTAAGTGATATAAAAGAGAAAGGCCATGAAACACTTATGCCATTGCATGTTTTCTTATGGATGTAAAATCCGTAATGACAAAAAATATGCATTTTGAATTTGTAAAAGATAAAGCCTCTCTGTAATTCCCCATGATCAGAATGCAAAATATGCCTGTGTGGCTAATGTTGCTGTGCAATAAACATAAACTTCTCCATCTGGTGCTTATCTGCTGAGAAGCTTTTAGATTCTTAGGCTCATTGTGTTTACAGTGATCGTGCACTACATTCACAGAACCATGTGCTCCAAGATGTAGAGACCACACAGACTTACTTGTTGCTCCTTCACTGTGTAGCAAAACACATATTGAAAAAGGCACACATAAAACATGTAAAGAAAAGTATTATATTACACATGAAAAATGCGACTCATTTAATTTCTTTAATTTGTTTTAAAGTTGTTAGCAAAAGAAAAAAAATTCTTGGCACATTGGGTTTCCAATGCAGATTTTTTTTTTCTTCAAATCCAGAGAAGAAAATTTATTTCTTAAAGGATGAGTACTAAGTTTTCAAAATTACACTCCCTACGTTTCTCCTTCACACAATGACTAGATTACTTACCTAGTGTTCTGCCTTTGAATTGTGATCCAGCTTTCACATGGGCCTGGAACACAGGTGATGTTTGAACTACAAGTTCCAGCCCGAAGGTTGTATGCATTTGAATGTACATTGAGGACTGTCTGAAAACAGTAATGTCTCCTAAAAGAACAAGGACATTTAGAAATAGATATTTTGGTGATATTGCAAGGTAATGATTTTAATGCATATATAAGTGTTCTAGCATTCTGTCTACAACTCTTCTCCCACACACCACTCTCCACAGAGGAACAGATGCAATGGGAAAGACTTTAACCCTCTTCTAAAACCTCTGGTATTAGCAATTGGAAATTGCAAAGGATGCTGGGTTGTATAAAACAGACATTTAATGCAATTTGGGAATAACTTACATTCCCCTTTTTTTACCTGATCTGTAAGGCAGCCGCTTAAGTTCATCATCATCCGTGAGGAGATCATTCTGAGAAATCACAATTTTGTCCTGTAAGAAGAGGACATGGAATCAGAAGTAATGATCTGTACTGGTGGTATTTATATGTTCTTTATAACAACTATATCGTCAATTAATAGGACAAGACTGATTCAAGCATTTTGTCACATATTATTATGTACTGCTTTTAGTTTTTACTTTGAAAATACTCTAACTTCCTGAGTTGATGTAGTAACTGAGGTCTTTACTGTGTGTGCATGAACAGGAACATATGTTTAGTATCTATTCCCTGTAATTTTTCAGTTCAGGCTACTAGCAATGACTTTAAGTATCTATTTTGCTTGTCTGGTTACTGATATGGTGGATGGAACCCGTGGAGGAAATACCTACCTTTGTGGACAGGTAAATTACAGCACTAAGTGACGTTTCGGAATGAGAATAACCAGTCTTTTCGTACACTGCCATTAGGGTTCCATTGTGTGGCAGGCTGGCACTCTGGGGGGAAACAGTGAAAACAGAAGTCTACGTCAGAATAATGCTGATTTGTAGAATCAATGTATATCTTAGGAAGACCTCAGTCTGTGTCTCAATAGAAAAACAAAGACAGACTAAAATACATCCATTTGATATTTTGTGTTTCTTAACTGCAGGAAATTACCTTCATGAGAATGTAAGTGCAAACCCCATGGAATCTGTACGACCTAGAATCAAACGTGGTAACAAAGGAGCCTCCTTCCAGTGAACACCTTCCAGGACAGGGCAAATCTTTGCAGTCCCATTGACCCATCATACATTTGCTGCGGAAAATAAGAAATTCTGTGTAGGTTATTCTCGTAGTAAGGCCCTGTTTACCAGCTGAGGATTTGATATCCTCCTGTCTGGAGGTTTCTCTGCAGCTGATCAATATGCAAAATTGGTTAGTGAACACAGAATAACATACATATACATTCTGAACTTTCATTTTCAGTACTTTGGAATTTTCTTCAGACTCTAAAAACTCAGCTACTTCCTAGTAATGGAATATGTCATTTGTACCACTTTTCCCCTTACATTTTCTATGCTTTGATTTTCTTTGTCTACGTATATCAGTTGAAGATGGTCATCTTAATTCAAAGTTGTTGAACTTTTGTATGGATTGTCAGTTAATGTTCCTGAATCATGAAAAGTGTGTTCATCGTTGCATTTCTGAGGATCAAATTCCATTACTTTTCCTTTACATTCTTTGTTAGAATTATGATAGCAAGACACGTGACACCAAAAAAATTATTCCACTTTTAAAAAAACACTCTGTTAAGTTATTATTTTCTGTTGCAAAACAGAAATTTAGTTTTCAGCACTGATCTGGTGATCAGAAAGACTGAGACTGCCAAAAAGAAATTGTAAATACTGGATATTTGCTTTGTACTAATTTTACCTGCACTTTCAAAGAGGAGATATAAATACTACTGTTTCATATGGTCTGAAAGGGTATTTTTATTTGTACAGACTAATCATGAAATGAGACGTGTACCTCTTTAATTGCAAATGTATGATATGTGGCACTGAAAGAAGGTGGCCTCAGAGATGGTATGACACATGTGCAGCTCCCCTCTGAAAAGTTAGGCTAAATTTTCCAATAACTTGGTGATCTCTCATAAAAGTACCTGTTGCTACTCACCAGGTCCTACATGTTGCTGTCATTGTCTCACCAGGAGCGTATGGTTTCCCATTCAGTGTACATGGACACTGGCTAATGTGAACACACGTTCGATTCTTGGAGATATCATCAAGAACAGTTCCTGCCAAAGATAAACAAAATACTTTTCCACATCCTTACTTAGCACTAAAGCTTCAGTGCTTTCTGAAATTATCTTGAGTATGCTATTCCTCCACAGTCAGTGTCCATACTTCGATATAGAGTATACAGGAAAACTTCTCTTAATTAAAATAAAACTGACTCTTCACAGTGTTTGGCTGCTTTCTAATACGAAAGTGCAGGCACTTGTCTTATTTTGAAATTTGAACTTAATTTGAAATAGCAGTAAGGTAGAATGTTATTTTTATTTTTCCTTTTTTTTTTTTCCTCCCTATGACACCCTAAATTGACTTGGGAATTTTGAAGAATAAACACATTATATTTCTTAGAGTACTAAGTCTAGTTTTAAATATGTAACTCACAACACATTAGTTTTGACTGCCATAAATTGGTGATGACATTGATGTAAATGCCCACATTGGAGGATATATCAGTTCTGAAATTTTCTCAGAAACAAGGCATATGATAGTAATAATCACAATTTTTGAAGGAAGTTCATCTTGAACGATTTTAAAGGGAATTTACAAAATGCCCATGATATTGCAGAAGTCATCAGAGGTATGCTACTTCTTTCAGATGCCCTTAAGGGCTAGATACCTGTTTGGGATAGGAAACTAATTAAGCTTAACTCAATGTAAATTATAGTACAGAACTTTGAGCAGGCAACACATCATTATCCCATAACAAATCATGGTTTTGTGAAGAAAATGATTTCATAGCTCTGTTCTTGCAAATAGTGACCAATCATCTTTAAGGATCATAATTAATCAAGACTCCAGTTACATTACACAAGAAGTAGCAGTTCTAGCAGCACAATGCCCCGAAATGCATGGCTAGTTCATTATTAAGCAGTCTATTCCACTTGAGTGGATATATGCAAAAAAAAATATTTGTGTCATTCATTTAGAATATGATGAAATGATACCTTCTGGACAAAAGCAACCGTAGGTACAGTGACTGGAACAGCTGTACTCTGGGTTGGAACAGGTTTTAATACATGGAGAACCACATTCCTCATAGATTTGGTTTGCAGAACATTTTCCCACAGCTGCAACAAACAGCAGAAGTGTTAACATTTTAAAAGAGAACAGTCTCCTGTTGCAAGTTTGAGAAATTAAACAGTTTTCACTTGGTGATGTTCCTCTGTTTTATTGTCACTGATCTAGACATAAGAGCTATGTTTCAAGCTTCCCTCTTCTCCTTTGAGGTTTCCTTGCACTCCTTATTTTATCAAAGACCACTGTTGTTCTCTTAAGAAAATGTTTGATTCAAGACAGTAAAGACTTTTTTATCAGTTGTTTTACACTCCAGTTATTTATCAGTATCCCTGTATTTAAGACACAGAAAAGTTAAGCACAGCCTCGCACGAATAAACCATTTGAACTTACAACAGAAATTTTCAGTTCTCCAGTTGAACACCATCTGGTGGGACATAGCACATTGCCTTGAATATTCTGACAGTGTAGAGCAAGCACAGCTGTTTTGTCCTGGCTCGCTGCAGTCCTGCATATCAAGCTGGCAACGAATGACAAACCCGTCCTTTGGCACACTGCAGGTTGGTGACACCAAATTAAGTAGCTGAGAGCAGATCATGGCCTAAATGAAAGGAGAAAGAAAATTGTTCCCTGTCACATTGGCTACTGCAGTATAGGGTCTCAGAGACTCTCAGGCACACTGACTTTCTTTTCATCTAGAACTGTAAGTGATAGCAGTTAATAGTGGTTGTCCCTGTTATCGGTGCTGTTATCTGACATGTTTTAGGCATTGGGAATGTCTTCAAGTCTGTACATCTTATAATGTCAGGTCTCTAAAAAGTTATTAAAGCTTTACTGGTTTCTCTGAATTTCCTGGGATGACCTGGATGAAACTCCAGCAAGCCGTGAGCTAAACACTGGTTGGTTTTTATGAGTGATATAAATTCACCCTCAGAAATGCCCATGGGCTTTTAATTAAAATGTATTTCAATGCAAAGAACTAATTTTCTTTATCATATCAGGCTATACAAATGTTGACTTTATGTTTTTTCATGGAAGTCAGTTTTATATTTATTGCCTCTCTGTTGTTGATTTCTATCTATCTTTCCCCCTCTGTTAAGAATCACACTACAGAGAAGCCAAGAAGATCTTCCTTACATATTTTTTGTGAGGAACAGTGGAAATAGGTATCTCCTCAGACAGGCAGATCTCTGATGGATCATCCATTTTTTGTAATGCAGCAAATTTGTATGTATCCAGCAATTTACCTGTAAATTGAAGGGTTATAATTTGTCAGGAAACAGCCCAGGTTGGTTTGTTTACTTGTTGCTGTCATGTAGCAAAACTCAAATTCTACTCTTTGACTGTGAAATGTTCTACAAATGAATTTTCCCAATGACAACTGCCTCTTTTGCCCTTTACCTGGAGTCTATTAAACAGAGCGTACTTTTATTACTGTGATCATTTCTTCAAGTTATTTCCCAATCTATCACATCTACTACCTTACATGCTGCTACTGGTTTTCTGTCAGCTGTGTTATCTTTTGCCAGTTGTTAATTCATACCTCTTCTCCTTATCCCCCATTCTTATATCTTCCCCTATATATAGGGTTAAACTCATCACATCCCAAAGACTATTATATAATTTTTGGAACTCATTTCTGTGACGTGTATAGAAAACTGCATCTGTCTGTGTTGATCTAAGATTAGTTTACTGTGTAATTTAATGTCTCCACACTAGCACTACAGTTCAGATTAGCAGTGTGCTTTTAAAGCAAATATTCCAAACATCCCCTTTTGTTTTTTTCTGTTGTGGAGTGGTCTTGTCATATGGAGTACCTTCAAGATTAAACCAAGCTGAAAGATAAATTCCAAGAGCTTGAGTAACAAGCTCCAACTACTAATGGGCAATAAATCAACAGACCAGATTAGAGTGACTCAGAAGTGAACCCCCTCAATTCCTCAGCACCATTTCCATATAAAGATCTACAATTATTGAGACACACTGTTAATATTCTTGTCCACTATGTTCTTATTATTGCCTCATCCTTGCCTCTGCCTATAGTAATTATTTCCTTCACTGGGCCTTGCTGTGATCTTAGACTGTGTGAAATTTGGGAGAGTGTGACCCTTACCACCTGTTTCTAAAATATAAGAGAGTTCTTATCACTTGTCTGAGGAACCCACAATATTATGCTCACAGCAGATAACAGTGTGTACCATAATCTACAAGAGGTATGTTGGTGACCTATGGAACTGCTTTACTCACTTCTGAAACTGAGTGAGCAGTCAGAGCAGTGCTTTTACAGTATTAAGCTTTCACCTTGACTCACTTTAACTGGTTTTCCTTCCACGTGAAACGTCCTTGTATCTTACCTTCACGCACAAATTCATTCAATTCATAACCATCATAATTTCCACACATTCCACAGACTTTCCCCATGTATTTTTTTTCAGCCAAAACCTAAAATAAAATGGAATGAAACATTTAAAAGGATCACCCTGAGTGAAATTATCTATACAGGATTAACTTACTCAAACAAATTCAGTTCAAGGACACAACTTAAGGTGATCCTTCTCATTAATTTCAATTACTTGTTTGCAGGAAAAGTTTTGTAAATAGTAATGTCTTTTCCCAATAGGCAAATAGTGATTTATTTATTTATCTATTTAATAAAAGAATAGGATTTCAAGACACTTCCAGAGAATTAAGGAGGGGGTTATAATATTTTAAGGAATCAGAAAAGAAAACAAAAAAGCGAAATGATGCTGTACCCTGGCTCATATCTTTGTTGACAGAACATGAATTTCAGGTTTCTTCTCTTAAGAAATTGAAGGTTACAGGAAGAAAATCTCTTTTCAGAAAAAGATTATTCAAATATCCATTGCTCTGGAGACTAAAGTGGTAGTATTACTATTGGCTACAATCAATTATTGTGAAAATCTTAGGTCAGAAGTAACCTGACTACAGAAAAAAATATAGTTTGTACCCATCACAGTAGCCTTTCCTCTTATATGTGTTATAGTAATGCTGATAAATCTCCCAGAAAATTTATTACATATTGTTCTCCCTGTTTTAGCAAACATCAGTTTAGATTTCAGTGTTTTTTATGGCAATAATATCACAGGTCACACTGAGAAAATGTACTGGGGATTTTGGAGGGGAAACCTGAAAATATTCAAAAAAAGGAAAGAAACAAAGAAACTGGTAGAAGCACTGTATGTTTGAAACCAAAAGATGTCCTCTGGAAGCACAATAGAAAAGACTAAACTATGGCATACACTGTTAAATTCTACACAACTTTAAACAATAGTAAAACATTGCAGCTCCTGGAATACCCTGAGGAAAGATTAAAAGGTGTGAAAGTGTCCATAAATCTCAACATTGGTGGCTTTAGTCAGCTATCAATGCTGCAAATGAAAGGAACACACAGGTATAAAATGAACAGTTGTTTTTTGCAAGAGGAATGGATGAAACAGGAAAAGAATAATTACCCAAATAGTAAATACATGCAAAAGTACCCAGTAAGTCTAAAGAGTTCTTGTCATTCCAGTAAATAAAATGAGAATTTTCTGCTTTATGAGAACATTTTACTAACCATGAGATAGTCATCATTGTTCCACATGACAACTAGTTCCATCTCCATCAGCTTGGCGACCAGGCGGATGTTGTGTCCATAAGGTGCTATTTGAATTCCATTGCTAGTATAAGGCAACTTAATAATTCTGTAATAAAGGAAGAAGAGAAACTGACCTTCTCATTCCAATAATATGCAGGAATTAGTTTGTGGGGGGAGTTTTATATGATACACATACAGTCTGAGTACTTGCAGCAATATGAAATAGAATTTTTTTCCTTCGTAGTTATGACATTTTAAGATACATTAAAATGTCTGTTGATTGAAAATCAATGCCAGCAGTTTCATAGATAAATCACCAGAAGATAGATGCACAGTGATTATACTAGTGAAAATGTTTGCACAGGACTTGGCTTCTTCACTTGGTTTGTTTTTATCAGGGTATAGTTGTACGTTTCAAGAACTTCTAACAATAAAGTTTCTGTGGTACAAATATTGTTGAGTATCCTGAAGAGACTCTACCTACTACAGCCCATTTATATAGGAATTATTGCTATGACTGAAAACTGACAAGATTAAAGAAACTCATAATGTGAATGTTGTAGCAGAATAAGGTTTTCATCCTTGCAGATTAATTTTAATGCTACAAACTAACGACATTACAAAAGAAATACATTTTGCTAAGTGTTCAGTGGTACAATCATGAGAAGGGGCTGAAAGACCAAACCAGCCTTCCACTTGAAGCATGGCTATGTGCAACACTAGACCAGCTCATGGCATTTGTTTCTTGTGACTGTAGGTCAAAAATTTTAAATGCAGATCATTGGAATAGGCCCACAGATATAGTTTTTCTGGAAAACAAATTAAAAAAAGGAAGTTTTTCTAAATACAGTTTGCTAAATTAAGGTATAGTGCAAATTGTATTTTTGTTGTAATAGTTACTGTGCCCAGGTAAGTATAATAAGATACAGAAAATCCACAGTCAATTATTTCCTGTATCCACATGTATTCAGAGATAAAAATTCAACACTGTCTATCTGATAAGAATACTGAAAACTTCCCTGGAGAAATTTCCTTGTATGGGAGCAATTTGTTTAGAGGAATGAACCTATCCAGTATTTCTCTGTTGGTTGCAGAGTTCAAAGTTTCTCTTATGCCCTACGTATGTGTTACCTTTAGCAAGGTAAATGTACTCTAAACAAAACATAGGAATTTCAACCGGTATCTTAAAGGGTATAAGCTGTTTCATCTGTGCTTGTAGTAGAGATAAGTATAAGCAGACTGGTAGTATCTAGGAAACTGTAGTTACAGTCTGAGAACTGTTTTGGTCTGAGGAGATTAGTTTATCCCTTTGCCTACAAAAATGTACTCAAAGCTTGATTCAAATAAGTGCAAATGCAATACTTATCTAGAGAGTGTAATGCTTGATGGGAAGCAATGGGAACAGAGTCCAGTTAGGTGTGTTAACTTCAGTGATTTGTTAATTAATTTTTAAAACAAAACAGATCACCTTTACTGTAACTGCTATATAACTCCCTGCCTTCTCTAAACACTTTTTTCTTATTCATCTCAGAATCTTACCCAACACTCCTGACAGAAATGCTGCCTTTCTCAACAATGACAACAGAAGGTCCAAGCTCAATAATGATCCTTGCAATTTTTTTGTCCATCCCACGGCGGAACTGAATGTTGAAGTCTGGGCTGGTTTCATCACATACAGTTGCAAAGATATAGTTGCAAGTCCCAGTGAAGTCATACTGGTATTTATCAAAGGTTGAAAAATGGCCTCCACCCCATGTAGAACAGGAATCCTTGCTCAAAACTACAAAAGAAAAAGAAAAACACATTTAGGCCTCCTAAAAGCATATTTGCTCATTCTGACTGGCACTTCAAATAAATAGTAGGAGAAGCTATTCAGTTTCTACTCAGATTAATTCTGTAAACAACATCCTAGTCCTCTATTTTTGTTTTTTCTTTTGTAAGCTCAGAATTTTATCTCAAGTCAGGAAGTCAAACAATATGGAGGGAGAGCAATATTATTACTTCCTGTAAATAGAGGAGAGTTCCCCAGCTTCCTAGCTTGGGAAAAACCATTCCAACTCCTTCATGAGTAATATAAAGGTCTACCTTCTTATTTCAGTCTGTTTGATCTGTTTGCAAAGGCGACAGCTTGCTACTGGAAAGACCTTTAACATCTCAGACACAGCATTTACCAAGCTATCTACGGCATTACTGTATCATAAATAATTGCACAGTCAATCATTAGATATCCAAAGACAGTATTCAAAGCTCAACTTGTCAGTCCCCACTTTTTTTGGCTCTGTATTTGTGTGACAAACTTTCAACCAGCCTCATAAATACATGGAATGTTTTAATCAGTTTTCATTTTTAAGAAGTAATCTGAACTTTTCATCAGAGTAGACAGATTTTTGGTGGTGGAAATGAATCCTAAAAAAAAAGAGATACAACTCCAGCGCTTGTTGTAAAAAGTTCTGTACCTACTTACAGCATTTGAACAGTCCCTTTGAAGCTGATAGTTCTACTTAAGTAACTAAAATCATGTCCTCAGTTTTATGTTTCCAGACTCAGATTGTTAATTTTCATTTTTTAATTATTTTTGCTTATAGTGTTATATGTCATATTTTTCTTACGGTGTCAGGTATCTTAGAATATATCTCAGAGCCACAAAGTATCAGCTAAATTTAGCAAAGTCTACCTGCAATTCATATTCATTGTTTTAAAGCCAAAAGATTTTTTTTTTAACTCCTAAGGAGTGATCAAATTATTACAGAATGTCACTGGTTTTATCCAGGTCATGTAGAAAATACTGTTTCCCAGAGAGCTGTTACCTGTTGGTAAAAAGTATTCCTCTTCCATACTTCTGTTCTGTCCTGAAGGTCTGACTGGAAAATAGGAATCATCTAATTGTTATCATTGGTCCTTCATGCCCAAGTCCAGCTAGTTTAACATATTGTGTTTAAGTGACACTGACCACCAAACCCCAGAGCGTGCCACGGAAAGATTATCTGGGGTTGCACAATGGTCAGAGTGCAACAGGTGCCCCTTTCTATAAATACAGGAGCGTGTTCAGTGTATTGGTTTTTATTTAAGTCTTATCAAAGAAAAATAACAAATGGGAGTGTCAATAACTCAAGGAAGTTTAAAACTAGATTATATGTTTGTCTTTTGTGTTCAGTTCTTTTATTAATTAATATAATGGGATTTTCTTTTAATTTGTTATATCCATGCTCTGCTGTTCCTCTTGCTGTAAGAACAGACAGCATGCAGAGATGAGTTCCTGAATATCTGGGATTTTTGTGTCTGATCACAAGTCTTCAACTATTTTTGCTTTTAGGATGAATTTCATGTAGATTTCCATGCTTATGCTGATTGAGAATTCAGCTAATGCAAGCCACTCTCAGTTTATTCTGCCTAAAAAAATGCTTCCCATTATAATAAATTTGCATTTTATATAATTGGTTTTGTTCTACACCTCTGCATTTTCCCCAAACTAGATAAAAGAATTTCATTGCCAACCACTGATATGCAAAACGTTTTGGAGTACACAAGAGTTGCTATTTAATGGTATGTAGAAGTAAAGCACGGTATTTTAATGCAAAACATTATAGATTACTAGGAAGATTTTCTGTAAATAGAGTATGATAGAAAAAAATGTTCAGAATACTAGGACTGATATCCATACTTTTTTTAAAAAGCATCTTGTGAAAATGTGTGGCTTTAGAAGGGTTATAGCTTTCCATATCCTGGCTTAACAGACGAACATATCATGCAAAATGTAGTATCCCATGACAGCATGACGACATTTATTCATTCTGATCATGGACATGGAAAACTAAATGTTTGTGGAATGAAGTTTAAATTTAGAAGTTAATGTCTCACATTTCTTCAGAAAAGGACGTGTGAAAAGTTGTATTGGTTCTGATCAAGGGCTGATGTAGCTCTGTGTTTTATTTCCAGCAGTGATCATTAACAGACTGCCCAAGGGAAGACTACCATCAAGTCAAGCATATATACCTCCACAGATACTCTCTCAGTCTCCAATTATTTCCAGTTCAGAGAATTTTGTGAGGCTATTGGGATTTTTCTGCTTTTCCCCTCCCTTGAGCTCTGGCTTCCAAGTACGTGTTCCAGCCTCCTTTTGAACAGAACCAAAATTTCTTTCTAGTAGAAAATGCCACAATCACTGCTGTCAAAATTTATCATTTTAATTATGAGCTAACATTTTAATGATATCTGTCTTTCTAACGGTACTTCTGATAGCTAACATTTTTAGTACTTTAAAGCTATAATATACTAATTATTTTAGCAGTGAACACATTTTTACACAGGTAAGGTCTTAGTATCTTACTATTTATATTTCTCAGATTCAGAAGGACTAGCACAAATTCACAGTAAGTAGGTGGCTGGAGTTAATTTTGTGTACAGATTTGGATGCATCCACACAAGCCATTCTTTGGAGTTATGGGAAAACCACTGTTAAGCTACTAGAATTGTGGCAGCAGTAGCTACAGCCGGCACAGTTCAATGCTGAAGCAGAGATCTGTCCATACTCTCACTCCCCACTGGCTGCTGGCTATAAAGGTGAGGAAGAAGTATTCCACGCTCTGATTTTTCACTTGCATATAAATTTGTTTTAACCTGAAATCTTTAAAATTACTTTTATAGATCTAATCTATACAGAGAATGAGTTTTATTTAACTTCCTGGATTTTGCAATATCAAAGGAATCCATATCCTAAATTTTTAGATAGTATTAGGCAGTAATATGTAGGAATGAAAATCAAGCATATCACACAAATGACCCCAATAGCAAATTTCTAAATGTGGAAGGCTACTAAACTGCTCACAGTTTCTATCCTTAGGCATCAAAACCTCAGCATAGCACACAAAAGCACTTTCCATTTACTTAAAAACTTACAAGTGAGACAACACATTTTATCATCTGTTTATATACAAAGTTTTCATTCAGAATTTCTAAAACTAATGCTTCAAAACGTATGTTCCTTGAGGCAAAGACTGATTTTTATTATGTGTTTTGTACAGAGTCTTCTGCAATACAAAACTGATGCTGAATAGAGTTGCCACTCATAGTTGAATGTGAACATTAAATACCAGGTCAGGTACTTACTTCTTTGCAGAGATTCTTTCTGTTTTTGGAGAAAAACGTGGGGCCAATAATTTCCTTCAAAAGCTGTGAAAGGAACAATGCAACACAATGAAGTTATCCTCTGAGCAAAAAAAATATTTGTGTATTTATTTATTTTTAAGCACGCTACAAGTCAAAGCAGGGTCAGCATATATGAACTGTGTGCTTCCACACAAAACTGAATGAAATTATAGTGGAAAATCTGCCAGAAATCCTATGCAATATGAGACTTCCTGTACTTCATACTAAAATCCTCTGTTCCTGTTAAAAAAAAAAAGGGATAAATCTTTGCTCATATTTTTCAATTCTTGTTCCACCATCTGGGCAGAAGTAGTGGAGGGAATAGCCAAAACTAAAACAACATGGGAAAAGTATTGTCCCATGTGTTCTTCACAAGAATTATGGGATCTGGAGTTGAAGAGTGGGAAATCCCCAGGCCTTAATTGTTGCTTTTGCTACTCATGCTAAGGCAGAATGATGAAGGTGTTACCTGCTCTCTTCCATACACCTCCTCACAAAACCTGTTTTGGTCAGGAGAACCAAGGAACGTTTAGCAAATGCAGAGCACAGCATAGTCCCTCTTCCATCTCAAACCCAGACCTCTGGCATGTGCACAACTGCACCACGTTTTCACACATATCCGAAGGCTCTTTCACCTTCCTGCCTTGCTTCCTGCCAAAGTGTGATCAGAATGAGACATGGAAAAGGGCCACCACAGCCAATCTACAAGCAGGGAGCCCTGTGCACTGCCTGGGCATGGAGTGGGCTTTCATAGAGTCCACAGCTGGATGGTAACAACCAAAGCAAGATGCAAGAATAAGGCCCTGGGGTGCTTCCGAAATGTGATACTCATTTTTACAGTTTCTAATGTCTGGTATTTCTTAGATAGCAGGAGCAAATATCCCATAGAAAGCATATAATTCTCTATTATATGTTTAGGATCTTTTGCAACACAGAAAATATTGTGGCAGAAGGTTTCTTTAATCACATAAAGCAGGACAAGGCTCAATACATATCTATATATACACTACAGCTCTGCAGGGTTCTGTTGCTTCCTTAGACACTGCAGTGATTTGAAAGCCTCCAGGGAGCTCACCAGCTGTAACAGCCTCTCTAGCCAACTCCATGCTGTGCTGCTGAATGTGAGGTAATATTTATTATGTGGTATCTCAAGGACTAAAGGAAAACAGGTGAGGTTCTGTTTTTTATGTGAGGCCAGATTAAGGCACAAGAGGGAATTTGGGAAATAAGAGTTTCAGCATATGCCTTTGCTTTGGATCTGAGATCCAGATATCTCCAACTTCCCCATCAGTCTATGCCTCAATTCTTGTCTGAAACAATACTTATTGTAAAAAGATACTATCTGGATAAACTAATCTAAGTTTTTAAGAGCTAAAACACAACACTGGTGAAATTGTATACAATGAATAGACAGAAGGGAAATAAATCAAGAATGTAAGTTCAGTGACAGAAGTGCTCCCACCCTAAATGTTCTAATAGCTTTAAATGGCATTCGTTTCAGTCAGTTGTCTAGGCTCCTTTCACAGGCTGTAAAAGTAAATGCAAATTTACTGAGTACAATTTGACTTGCAAAACATGTGGCTAACACAGAACAAATGAATTATACACAAAACTTTTATTTCTCTCCATTGATGTAAAAGAAACCTTAGGTGACTATCTGCAGTGCAAATGCCAAGGCAGCACTTTAGGGAGATGTATTCCTTCCACCCTTCTGTATTCCCTCTACCCTTCTTCCTAGATATTGTGTTAATTTCCATGGGACAGTGCTCTACAAGCAAAAATAAAACTCAACATAAATTTTCTAAGTTGAAGTTATAATAATAATAATAATAATAATAATAAAGATAACATAATCACTTCTTGATAAAATAAACAAGAACATTTCCACAAGAAAGAAAGGACACAAAGCAATCTCATTAGCTGCTGAGTTGCAAGCTACTGTACTCACTGCATGATCAGCACTTTAACTTCCAAAGTTGTCTGACACCACTCATCAGAAAACCATTGTAGATCCTACTCATGCTGCCTTGTCCTCTAGAATTGGTCAGCACTGGCCAATAATTGTTTGAAATTTTGCCAGCACTTTAGTACAACCTCCACGGTTGGCCTGCAACTCATCAGGCATTTCCAGAACACAACATGTTTCTTCCAAGTTCCTGGTGAACCATGCATCGCAGTACCAACACCACAAAAGGTAAGAGAGTCAGTTTGCAGCTATCAAGTTAACACTCTCCATGCCTAGAGTTGCTGCTGCCATTTCTGAACCCCTGGTTTTTGATACCTCCATTTGTTCAATAATCTATTATTGTTGGTTTAACTGTTCTCCAATAGCTACAGTTTAATCCTAAACTTCAAATACTACCTTTATGGGATTTAAGAGAGTGCAACAGCTGCATTCCAAGGATATTTGATTTGCAGGAATTGAATATATGCCTAAAACATTACTTCAAGTCAGATCTACTTAGATGTAAAGCAAAGGGTCTGATAATTAATGGACAAATATTTTAGATCAGGACAGGTTGGTTTACAAAGCTTATTTGCCAGCTTTTCAAGTTCGAACACCTAAGCATGGCAAACAAAATATAAGACATACTTCAGGTTTGGTATTTAGACTAAATTTGAACATAACAATCATCCTGGGTTACATGGAGGTGTGAAAGAGTTGTATCAAAAATAACTAAGGAAAATAA